TGTCTTCAGAACACTGGTGCGCCGAGAATTTACTTCAAATGTTCTGTGAAAACATCAAATACACAATTGAAAATTGTTGAACAAGAAAAATTAAAATAATTTTTGTATAGAATTGTAATCAACAAACGTTAATGATATTTAGTTTTTAAATTACGTATATTATATCGTAAACTTAATGCAAACGTAATTGCTATGAAAAATAACATCATATACGAGACCGAGTGTTATTTAAAAACCAAGAAACCAGTCAAGCTACGTCACGATGATAGTCAGTGGAAAGGTCCATTTCTTGACTTCCGAGAAAGAAGGTTGCAAGTTGGAATGAAAGTGTTGGTTATGGGGGAACATCAAAACAATAGTAAAAGTGCTAAAAAAAAAAGGATTAAAAATTAAAGAAAGAGAGCGCATGAAAGGACTGAATAGGCGAGGATCTATTCTGAACTTGGAGTTAACCCATTAACTAACTTTATTTCATTAATTTTTATTTTATTTCTGTTAGTTTACATCTAAATAATAATAAAAACATGTTTTTCTCATATATGCGTCCATTTTTTTTCAGAAATTTTAAATTTAAGGCCGATCCCCAAATGGGGATCATGGCTGATACTATCTACTTTTAATGCCAGCGTTCAAAACAGTCTACGTGTAATCCAACGTTGCATTTTCCACATTGTATTCTTGCATTTGTTTTGCACACTGCACATTTCCTTTGTTTACCATTTTCGGGACGTTCAATATTGAACACGATTAATCGATGCTTTAGTGAAAGAATTCCTTCCACCCTTTTTTGCATCTGAGAGTTCTGAAGATAAAGCAAGATATCCTCTAGCAACCATCCTCCTAAAATCTAGCAATGAAATTTTATAATTTGAAATGCAATACAGTGCGTGGTCGTTAACCAGTGTTACGTCGATGGCATTAGTAAGCAAAGGAAAATGCCATTTTTCCCCCTTACTCTGATTGTATTTTGAACATTCCAATCCATCTTGTCTACTCCACCCATGTATTTGTTATATTCTGATATCAGTTTGGGTTGTGGTACTTGAATATCTTTCTTCTCTGTTCTACTCCATCGCTTCACCTCTGATATTGGTTCGATAGTTTCATGATTAGACAGAAGCCTTACACAACTGTTGTCATTCCACGTGACAGCTAAAATTTCATTACGGGAATCAAATCTGTAGTCATATGCCCCGCGTTCTTTTTTCCTTATCTCTTTGTCTGTTGCAATAGGGCATTTGTTCATTCTGTTGAATCGAACAGTTCCTGTTGCTCTAACGTCAATGTCCTGCAAATGTTTCATCAGAGAAAATCCTGTGAAAAAATTGTCGAAGTAAACTTTATGAGCATTTGGTGTCTGAAGAATAGATACCATCTGAAGGGACAACAGATGTCCCAAGCCCACTGATGCTTTCATCATCTCCTAATTTCTTTGATTTGCCTTCATACACTTGAGTCTGATAACAATATCCAGTCTGTGAACAACAGATAGCCCATTGTTTGAACCCAAACCGCACTGGCTTACCACGTATAAATTGTTTGAGGTAGTGATGTCCATAGTAACGAACCATTTGTTCGTCAATGCTCAAACTTTCAGAGAAACACCCCAAATTGTTGAAATTTGTCATTCAGCTTGTCAATCAATGGGCGAATCTTGAAGAGGTTATCACGTTCACCTAGTGGAATGTTTTCTAAATCGGAGTTGTCACTGATATGTAGGTACCGTTTAATTTCCAGATACCTATTCCGACTCATGCATGCTCTAACACACAGAATGTTCATGTCTTCATCTTCACACCAATATAATTGTTCTTGCGGAAGTGAATGATAGCCAGTGAAAAGAAATATTCTAATAAATGTTTTTAGGCAGTTATTAGAAAGTTGAAATTGATGATTGTTTTTCTGTATGGTGTATATTACAGACTGCTGGACAATATAGGTGACAGTTTCATTATCAAAAAGTATTTCAAAACACTCTACCGGGGATTTTCCCCTGAGTTTTCTAATGACATCATTTCGCCTTGTCTCTATAACGTCAGAATTTTCATATAGTTTCGAGTACTTAGGTTGCTTCTTTTTCCAATTGGAAGTCAATACTTCTTTTCTCTTTTTAAGTGGTAAGCCGGTACCTTTTGTTACTTCATTTGCTGAAGATTCAGTTGCATTCACTAAAACATTTTCCTCAAATCCTGCCACACGGTGAATTTCAACACACCCGGGAACATCAAGTGGTTCTTCATCATCAATTACGTTGTCATCCATGTCCTCATTATCTGAAATCTCATCAACCCGCTCTGGTGGAATTTCAACAATATCTATGGGGCTATTATCGTCGTCATCGTCAGATGCAAAATAAATCATCAGAATTTACAATTTCTTCAATTTCTTTTAAAGAAAGATATCTTTTACGCTACATAAAAGGAAAAACAGTTTTTTTTTTTTACAATTTTAGTCAGTATCAGGCATGATCGCCAAATGGGGATCGACATATTTAGGTTCATTGTACCCATCCAAATTACAGTATGAGAATAAATAATATATAAATGCATTAATTACTCACCATGATAAAGGGAAATTCAGAACTACAAAAATAATTGTTCCTAAGTAACTTTTTGTGCTTTGAAAATAACCGTATTACTTTTCTCGTGAAAAGTAAGGAGAGAGCAAGAAAAATAAACTCGTGAGCTCAACTAACTGAGTCCACGTGTTTGTTTAAGATTTACACCCTTAGTTGTAATCTTCAGGAAAGCATGACTACCCGTAAGGGACCACCCAGGTGCAGCATGACGTCATAATGTATACAAATGTAGGCGATCCCCATATGGGGATCATGACAGGGAATTGGTTAACAGTGCCTTGCACTTCCAGCATACAAACAGAACAGATTTTAAATTTTATCGTGTTGCACATTGGTGAGCCTGAACCAATGCGCAGTGAATGTAGTTTATTTCGCTGCTTTCCACTAATGAAGTCAACTCGAGTTTTTGAATTAAATAAATTTAGCAAAGCCTTGAATCACATTATCAATTAACTTTCTATTTTTAATATTAATTTTTTATTATTATAAATATTTATTTTTATTACATTGTAAGGATTATGTTAATTTTATTAACAGTTAAATTTTAAGTTAAAGTTCCTTTCCTGTCAAATTCTTAGCTTCAACTTACTACTTCCGGTCAGAACGTAGTTTTGCAATCTTGCTGAATACAGAGGCTGTTCGCACATTTTTTAGACGATTTTGGTAAGCGGTAATAAAAAATCGTTTGCTGCAAAAGAAGTAATTGCAATTGTACTATGTTTTTAAAAGTTAAAATTATCGTCTGTGGCTTGAAAGTTTTGCTTTTATTCAAAATTTAACAAAGCAGTGGTTCGAAGGCTACATTTACGCTCTTTCCGAAGAGAAATATGCATACTCAATTATCCAAAAACGATGTGAGAGTCATGGTTTTGTGATATCCAAAGCGTCGATAGGTAATATCATCAACAAGGAAGGGAAAAAACGTGAAATTGGAGCCTCAAGTGGGACAAAAATTCCAAACAAGTATCCAAGGAAAAAACGGACATCTTCGACTATTGCAAAGGTACGTTGTTTAATGTTAAAAGAAAATCCCCCTAGTCAAAGGACAGTTGCAAAATCATTGCAATGCTCGGTGTCCACTGTAAACAAAATGATAAACGTTGATTTAAATCTTAAGAAAGCGAAAAAACGCAATGTGCATCGTCTTCTTCCAAAGCATATCGCTCAATGCAGGACATGCTGCAGAATTCTATATGAGAAACACTTATCCAAAGAAAAATGGAAAACAATTGTCACAATAGATGAAGCATGGGTGTATTTAAATGATTGTACAAAAAAGAGCCATTTATTATCATAAAAGGGGAGAAACAAATTTAAGTACATGGTTCAAAGAATCAAAAGAAAGTTTTTTCTAAGGGATTCATGATTGTTGCTGGTATTTCTTATAATGGCAAGTTAAAAATAAAGAGAGTGCAAAACATTGTCAAGATTAACTCCAAATAGTATCAGGAACATATTTTATCATCAATTTTTCTGAATGAAATACCATCGCTTTACCCACAGTGCCATCAATCTGTGAGACTCCATCAGAACAAAGCTAGCAGTCACACATCAAAATCCACTGTAAATTTCCTACAAGAAATGGAACAAAAAACTGGTATCAAAACCATACCCTTCACTGATATCCCTACTAAACCTATTGATGTGTCAACTATGGATTATTGTGCTTTCGGACTTTTAAAAACTGCATTATCCAAACGTTGTCCCCAAACCCTAACAGGACTCTGGAAAGCTGTTCGGGAGGAATGGGATAGAATAAGGGATGTCAAATAGAACATTTCAAACACAAGAATTTTATGTAATTTAGTTTTGTGAATACAATATACATCGTCTAAAAATGTGTGATCAGCCTTTGTATTTAATGAGGAGGAGCGGTATTTAAACCACGAAATTACTTACAGAGGCAGAGAGAGAATCAGAGTTTCTGATTTACGCGCGTCTGCCTTTTTGGCCACTCTCTCTCTCTCAAAGTTGTTATTACGCTCGGCCGTGCTCAGGCCCTTGCTAAGCTTCGTAGTCAAATAAGTTAAGGGGCCAACTCAATTTGAATCGTGATAGCTTCCACTACATTTCTTTACTTAATCTTAGTTTTAGTTTAATCCTTAGTCTCTTAAATTCACGCCCGAGTGTCGGCTTTGTTTGTACACTCCCAGGCGGAGTTTTGGTAAGTCTTATTGGAATAATAAAGGGTTAGTTACCCTCCTATCTTGTTGTTTATTGTCACCCGAACTTGAACGATTATTTGCTTATCAATTCTTAAGATTCTTCACTTCCTATATTAACTTAGAATTACAAAGTGAGGAACTCTACATTTGATCCTCGGTCCCCCAACAAGAATTTCCCTATGCTGTTATACCATCTGAGGGCTTGACCTTTTAAGGCTGTAGTAGCGATGGTCACCTTTTGCAGCTGATTCACGGTATATAAGGTGAAATGTAGGTCCAGTTGCTCCAAAAACGTCAGAACTGAGCCCTTGCCGTCAAATGTTACTGCTGGCTTCATAGATGCACGCAACGTTTCCACAAGGAATGCAAACCGTGGACGTCTGAGGGACATTTGTATAGGTAGGCTGAAGGTCGGAGGGGTCAATGTAAATTTCCCGGATTCTAACGACATGGTCCGTTGAAAAACTTTTCGGGCGCCAAATGTAGAGTTCCTCACTCTTTAATTCTAAGTTAACGTTGGAAGTGAATAATCTTAAGAACTGATAAGCGAATAATCGCTCACGTTCGGGAGACAAGAAACAACAAGATAGGAGGGTAACTAACCCTTTATTATCCCAATAAGACTTAACAAAACTCCGCCTGGGAGTGTACAAACAAAGCCGAGACTCGAGCTTGAATTTAAGAGACTAAGAATTAAATTAAAACTACGATTAACTAAAGAAATATAGCCGAAGCTATCAAGATTCAAATCGAGTTGGTACCTTCACTTATTTGACTTCGAAGCTTAGCAAGGGCCTGAGTACGGCCGAGCGTAATAAAAGGTTTAAGAGAGAGAGAGAGGCCAAACAGGAAGACGCGCGTAAATCAGAAACTCTGATTCTCTCTCTGCTTCTGTAAGTAACTTCGTGGTTTAAATACCGCTCCTCCTCATTAAATATTCAGCAAAATTCCGAAACTACGTTCTGGCTGGAAGTAGTAAGTTGAAGTTCAGAATTTGACAGGAAAGGAACTTTAACTTAAAATTTAACTGTTAATAAAATTAACATAATCCTTACAACATGTATTGGATTATATAATCATGAAGAAACCTCGTCTTGATATTAATGATGGCAATGTCTAACTTTCTGCAGTTCTGTGTGGCTCCTATAGTTATATTTAGAAACTATACTTGTTATAAAAAATAAACTATAAAATAATATTTTACTCCCGCACGACAGTTTGACCACCACATAGCAAGCTGAAAGGTAGGCTGAAGTACACGCCTTGGTGTGCATGGTATTAATCCAGAAAAGTATTACACATGCAGTATTTATTCTGTTAAGTTAAAAGGAAAAGAAAAAAAAGAGAACTGAAAGGGAATAAATACAGTTTTGGCCGGAAACACGATTATTGGCTTATCTGACTTTGCAAAGCACGCGAGGTCTGCCTTCCTGAACTGTTATATATTTTCGTCAAGGACATTTTAATATAGGAAACAAAATTAAAATTTATGGTCTTAAAAATAAGTCCATAAAAAAGTAATAGAAGCAAAATCTTTTAAATTCATTTTTCAAAAATACGACAATTTATCGACTATGACCGTTAATCGTGAGAAAATTTCTAAAGTTTGTAATTATGATATTAATGATTTTGTAGAAATTAAAGTTTTTAAAGGGTAAAAGGTTACAATTCCATTGTATAGCTTACAAATTGCATTTGTTCTTTAATACTATCAGTAGACGATTTTAGCACTGTGATCTATATTTCATTTTGAATCTTATTTGCTTGTAGAGTTTGGAAACATAAAGTTGTACATTTTATTGTATATAATTTTTAACGCTTCAGGACACGAAAGTACGTTATCTCAGAAGATCCATCTTGTAAGCGTTGATCATCATTATCTTCCTTATTCCTTAGGCTTCTAATTGCTTATAATTCTAATTTAAGGTATTGGTTTATGTAATAAAATGATCCCATAGGATATGTATCTTCTTATTTTCATAATTAAAATAGATTTATTGGCAAGTCAAACAGTAAGCATCAGCGTAATATTTGTAAATTTTGCTGGACTAATTTCGATGGTTTAACTATAGAACCATATTCTTCAGCTGCCAAAGTACAAAATGCTTAGGCAGTTGAGGAAGATGGTTCTGTACTTAGACCGCTGAGGAATGTGGTTCTATAGTTCAACTATCGAAACTAGTTCTCCAAAATTTACAAATATTACGCTGATTCTTTTTGCTTGACTTCTCCAATAATCATTATTCGGTGTGTCATTTGAACTTAAAATAGATTTGTAAGTATTCATGGTAGATTAATTGTCATTTACGATACTTTCCTTAAATTTGAAAGTTTGAAATAATATTCTATACACCCGAAATTTATTAGATGGTAAACAAGTATGCTAATATAAAAATTAAGCAAAATCCATCTTGGATTGACTGATGACTGTGCTGCTATAAAACTGAAGTTAATCCTATGATAAGTTGCGCGTAGTTTTGCTTTTGATATTTAAATATGACTCATCCATGGAATATATGTTAGAGTTCTATAAAGTTCAGTTGGTATGGATTTTTTTCAACGTTTTTAAAAGTCGAAATATAATTTGGCTGCACCAGTTTAGAGTAAAACGTTGACTT